GAAGTACAATGATGTACACCTGAAATTTTTACAATGTTATAAACCAATGTTACTGCAATAAACAAAAAATTAAAAAAAAAAAAGAATACACACAGCTAATTATTAAGGAACCCACTATCCAATAGTAAAGAAAGGTTAAACATGGCAGAGTTGGAAGCCATTATCAGGGGTAAAAAAAAATATAAAACTTTTTCATTGAGAATGGATTGAACAAACTGTTATGCTTGTTTAGTGTAATAAAGTGGAAAAGGTATATTGTCCAGAAGAACATCAATAGGTTGTGGCAATATATTGGAGACGAAAATGGAAAATTAAGAGGTAACATTGGACATAACCACTTCGTACTCTTGGAAATGCTGGAGAGGGGGCTGGACAGCCTGGTGAGCAGTTGTAGCCAGAGCCTGGAAAATGTGCTGAGGAGACCCAGAGATAGACGCCTTTGAGGCTCCTTCTCTCCCACTCTTGTTAACAGCATAAGGAGCTGGGTCAGCAGGTCTGAATCTGCTCTTCATAAGAACAGGCAGATGCCAGCCACTGAGTTCCAGGGACTCCCACTTTCTAACAAGCTCAGATCCTTGACCAGGGACCTGCTGTTGTATCATAGTAGCACAGATGTCTCTGTCTTGCTGACCCAGTAAATATGCAGAGCATTTGGGGGCATCCTCATTCCTGTAACACTGACCATGGGAATACAGTCCACTGTGCCAGTCTAAGAACACCCCTCATTGGACAATGAGAATATGGGGATCAGTGTGTTTTGATCCTTCTCTGTTTATTAATATTTCCTGATATGTTTTACACATGCACCATGTGGCACTGTGGTGTGTGTGCCTGTGTTCTTTTGAATCACATTTCAGTTATATATTGAAGGGCGTCTCCAGGATTGTTCTGATTCCAGCTAGACCATGGATTAATCCCTATCCTGATGTAACAAAGGGGCAGTGAACAGCATTACAGCCTAAGGGCTGAAAAGTGGGCAGCATCAGACTGTTTTACATTTGTGAGCAAGAACATAACTGCAAGACAGCAGTTAGTCTAGTTGTCAGCATGGAATATGATTGGTTTTAAGGAGAAAGGGGTTTGTTTTGGTTTTGGGAGGACCAGACTCAGGGGAGTATAAGAACTGAAGAGTGGTTACAGCTGGAGGAAGTCATCTCATGCAAGTTGAGAAGGCGTCAATAACACAGAGTCCCTGGCTTTTTCCTTTTCCCTTTCTCCATCCTCCCTGCATCTCTGGTCTGGCAGTGATGGCACCAGTATGGAGCTCACAGCCTCAAGGGAACAACTGAGATTCAGCATCATCAGCAAAGGTAATGAGGAACCAGGACTTGCTCTTTAGGTAAAAGGAGGGAAATAATTGTTCCCCAAACCTTAGGGGAGGGTTGGTCCAGTTACAGGGTGTGGCTGGTTCTCTAGTTCTTCTATATTCACCATGCCAAGTAGGGCAGAAGCTGGAGGCAGAATCTAATAAATGATAGCATCACTGCCTCCCCAGAGGTCTCTAAATGTCCAGTGATTGTGTCCTTAGCCGGACTTGAATGGAAAATTGGAAAGTGAAAGGTAGAAGAGACATGCATGTTAAAATTATGAATACGCAACAGAAGTAGAATATCTTTTGTGGGTTTCAGGAAAAGAAACAAAGAAAAACAAAGTCGGGGGGGGGGCGGCCCTGTGGCATGGCAATTAAATGCACGTGCTCCGCAGCTGGCAGCCCAGTTTCGGATACTGGGCACGCGCTGATGCACTGCTTGTCAAGCCATGCTGTGGCGGCGTCCCATATAAAGTGGAGGAAGATGGGCACAGAAGTTAGCCCAGGGCCAGTCTTCCTCAGCAAAAAAAAAAAAAAGAGGCGGATTGGCATGGATGTTAGCACAGGGCTGATCTTCCTCACAAAAAAAATAAATAAATAATCCTTTTCAGTAAGAGATGCATACTGAACTATTTAATTGTAAGATTATCTATATAGCATTTGCCTTGAATATACTCCAGGAAAGAAGAGTGGGAGGAATAGATGAAACGTGATGGCCAAATGTTGATAATTGTTGAAGCTGATGATTGGTAATGAGGGTTTGTTACACAATTCTTTTTACTACTTGGGCAGTTGAAATTTTCCATAATAAAAATAATTTGACAAAGAAACATGGAGATAAACGCAAGAAGAAATTGTCTAAAGCATTAAAAGTAGCAGCTTATATGAAATACAAATCCCAGCTGAGGAGTGGTGGGGCAGGGAATTATCTCTGGCCTTGAAAGATTACAGTTCACCTGAATTGTGTCCTGCCCCCAAATTTACATGTTGAAGTCCCCAATGTGATGGTATTTGGAGATGGGGCCACTGGGAGATAATTAGTGTCCCATGCAGTCATGAGAGTGGGGTGCTTTATGATGGGATTAGTGCTCTTATCAAAGAGATACCAGAGAGCTTCCTCTCTCCACCATGTGAGTACACAGTGAGAAAGCACCATCTGCACGCCTGGAAGAGAGCTCTCACCAGAATCTGACCATGCTGGCACTTGATCTTGGACTTCCAGCCTCCAGAACTGTTAGAAAATAAATTTTTGTTGTTTAAGCCAAAAAAAAGTTTACAGTTCATTATAAGTTTGGTAGTACTGTTTTACAATGGTATCTGATGAAAATGAAAATAAAGTGCACACTAAGCCTCATGTGTGCCGGACACTGGAGATACAGGGAGGGAGCCCATGGTCCTCTGGGGAAGAAGCTGGTTACAGTACAGTGTGAGCACAGGTGCCATACAGTGAGGTCTCCAGGTGCAACTGTGCAGAAAGTTGCCATCTAGGGAGACACTTCACATGACATGTGGAGGTGCCCTAGAGGAGGTGGTGTTGGGAGGGAGAAAGGATGGCATCCCACATTGAAGAACTGGCAGTTTAAACTCAGGATGATGTCAACACTGAGATTCTGGAATCACATTCTGCAATTGGCCCTATATAAAACTTACCTTCTTTATGTCCTTCAAATGTGGTCCTAAATTCAGTTTCTATATCTTCCTTGGTCTGAGTCTTAATCCTAAAATTTGTCCTCTTCCCAGGTTAAAAGTTTCTATTATTCCTATCCTTTGAAATAGCCTCTCCATAGCCTGAAATTTCCCACCATTCTCAAAGACCACATTTAGGAGGAAATCCAGAAACCCTGCATCCCAGAATGAAAGGCTGAAGGCCATGGCATGCTAATCCAATTCTAAAAGAACCCCTCTGCATCCTGTGCTCTAAGATCCTGATGATGTTAATATAAGTAACGTGGCCAAGGCTACACTTCTAGTTATTGTAGCTGAGTGACAGAAAGAACATTAAATTCTGCCAGGCTCTCATTAAAAAACAAACAATATTTGCATTATCATGGTAAGACTTTTTCAGTTACAAGTGAACAGTTTCAGGAGAAAAGATTTAACATGTTGATTTACCTGGGAAGGGCAGGGGTGAGGCTGCCTTGAGACATGATTGAATCCAGGGACTCAAACTTATCAGATTCTCTCTCTGTCTCTCTCTCTTCCTTGGGAAGGTAGCCCAATATCAGCTCCAATCCCCCTCACATTCTCCCACCTTAAAAACTTTAGCAGAGGGGCTGGCCTGGTGGTGTAGCGGTTAAGTTCGCGTGCTCCGCTTCAGCAGCCCGGGTTTGCAGGTTCCGATCGCGAGCGTGCACCAATGCACCGCTTGCGGCGTCCCATATAAAGTAGAGGAAGATGGGCACAGATGTTAGCCCAGGGCCAATCTTCCTCAGCAAAAGGAGGCGGATTGGCAAATGGATGTTAGCTCAGGGCTAATCTTCCTCACCAAAAAAAAATACATATATTAAAAATTTTAAAAAAACCTTCAACAGAAAGACAGATATCTTTCTCACAGTGTCCATACGTAAAGTACCAGAGAAGATTACCTTTGGACCAATCTCTGTTGCTAGGGAGATGTGGTACAATGTGGTACAGCCTGATTGGTCAGGTCTGGGTCATGTGATTCCCTCATCTTGTGGTGCCTCATAATATTCGGTAAGATATTTAAGATCAAGCTGATTCTAAGCCATGTAACCATTAAACAAAAAGACCTTTGCGGGGCCAGCCTGGTGGCGCAAGCGGTTAAGTGCATGCGCTCCGCTGCAGTGGCCTGGGGTTTGCCGGTTCGGATCCCGGGCGCGCACCGACGCACCGCCTGGCAAGACATGCTGTGGTGGCATCCCATATAAAGTAGATGAAGATGGGCATGGATGTTAGCCCAGGGCCAGTCTTCCTCAGCAAAAAGAGGAGGATTGGCAGATGTTAGCTCAGGGTCGATCTTCCTCACAAAAATAAAATAAAATAAAATAAAACCTCATGGCTAGAAAGATGAGGAAGGTAACAGTCTCCAGTCTCTCTCTGCTGCTCCCTGTCGCTCAGAACCCATTTTTCCAACTTAGAATAAGGTCTAGGGAGCCCACAGTGATGAACAATGTAAATACATCTCTGCTCATCTCCAGAACAGACCATCATAGCCACCTACTCCTGTGAAGTCCTAACCTCTCTATAAGTATTAGTTTAGTTGTATGCAACAGAAACCAAAATAACAGTGTTTAAATAGGATGAAGCTCGTTATGTGTCTCACATGACAGTGAGGCAGGCACTTCAGGGCTGCTAGGGTGACTCTGCACCACGAGGTTGTCCAGGCATCCAGGTTCCTATGACCTTCCTTCTCTGCTGTCCTTGGCATGTTGCCCTTATTAGCATGACCTGAGGTACCTAAGACCATGTCCGTAGTCCATGAGGAACCAGGGAAAGCAGGGAAGGAAGAAAAGTTTCCCTCTCTTAAGGAGAAAACCAGCAACTTCACATCTGCTTCATCTGATTGGCCAAAAGTTAGACGAACACAACTGTCAAGTGAGGCTGGAGAATGAACACAGTTTTAATCCGGGTGACCATGTACCCAGATAAAACTCTATTACTGTACAATAAGGATGCTTTTTTCTACACTTAATAAATTTTTCAAAACAGGAGGGACAATCATCATTATCAATATTTTACTGAACCATATTTGTACGTAAAAAATGGAATAATCTCAGAATGTATTGTTAATTGGTAACAAAGATGCAGATAGAATGCGAGGTAAAACACCACCTGATAAAAAGGGAAAGGTCTCTCTATAATACTGTGGAAACTGCAAACAGTGGCTATGTCTACAGAGAAAATTTGGAAGAATTGTGGATGAGATAGAAGAGGAAATTTACTTGTCATTGTATACCCTTTTAAATTATACGAATTTTTAAAAACTTGTATATGTGTTACCCATTCAAAATAAATTTTGAATTACCGAGGAAAACCTCACATTCATTTAGCCAACATTTATTAGGCAGTTACTAGATGGTAGGCTCTCTGCTAGGCTCAGTGAGGGCAACACCAAGGAATTTACAACAGGGTTGAATATCCTGGTAAATGCAACGTTATACTTAGTTGTTGGGAAACAGCTTCCAGGAGGAAACTAACTGAGTGCCTACTGTGTGTCAGATGTTGTGCCACCTGCTGGGGACATAAAGAAGACTAAGGTACATTCCTTTGTCACCTAAATGTCTCACCCAGCTGAGGAACTGTACCAATCCATGATCTTCCAGGACCCCCACTAATTTATCTTATCCCTGTGTGGAAAGTGAGCTCAGGCTTGGAGAGAGAACCTTGGCTCATTTGGCCCCAAAATTAGTGGACAAGTCTAGTTAGAGAACACCAGTTTCCTAATGTAACTGAGTAATCAAAACAAGAGAAAATCAGTAAGAAATAATCTGGATGAAGGGGAAGACACTAACAAAGTGAGATCACAAGAAGTGACTTTGTGGCATCCTGTATGCAAGCCAGCTGGAAGAAATAGTGGGAGCCCAGGATTTGCCTGGCAGGATGACACAGAAAAGAAAAAAATAGTTCTTTCCAGTTTATTGATGGTGCTTTCCTAGAGGTGTAGGAGGTCTGAAAAATTAAGGTAGAAATATTCAGAGAGGATGGCCTCCCAGTTTCACACAACCTTGAGATGCCTTTCCAATGATCCAATGATGCTGTGATTCTCATAGCAGGACGGTGCTTTGACACACAAGCTCAGCTCTGCAGACCATCTTGTCCCAGGCAGGACCTAGACTCATAGTGCTCTTCAGTGATCGTCCAGCCTGTGTGTGAACACAGCCAGTGCAGAGGCCTCACCACCTTCAGTTCCTGCTTTCTCTGACCTGGAACATCCCTGTGCAGACAGAGTCTAAGACGGCACCCAGTGATCCCCACCTCCTGGTGATCAGTCCTTGTGGAATCTCTTCCCACTGAGTGTGGGAGAAACCTGTGACTTGCTTCTAACCGACAGAATATGGCAACAGTGATGTTACTTCTGTGATTAGATCACATAAGATCATGACTTCTGTTTTGCTAGCCAGCCCTGTCCACTGCCTTCTTGACTTGCAAGCTCTGATGAACAAGCAACTGTGTTGGACAGGTCCACATGGCAGGGAACAGAGGCCTCCAGGCTAACAGAACACGAGGAAATACTCTCACTCCTCTTCCCTAGGGCAGCCCTTCCCTTTCTTGAAGACAGGCATCCTACTTTCCCTTTATCAGCATAAATATCCAAGTTCTCTTACATCCCAGTTGCTTTCCTCTCACCATCCAGGAGGCCCCAGTGGGGAGCAGCAGGCAGGGTGGGAGGAAGTGCCCATGAGCAGGGATGTGACTAGTCCTCTCCTCATGTTTTCACCTTGGAGAGCAGATGTGACCAGAAAGTCAGTTGGAAGAAGAGAAGTCAGGGGCAGTGGGATTGGAAGGAGATGAGTGAACACCTCAGTGTCTCTCAGGCCCATGTGGGGCTGTGCTTTCAGGCTGTGAAATAAAACAGTGAGGAATAAGCTCTGCCATGGCTAATGCTGGTCTTTACCCCTTCAGGATAGCCCACCTCACACCCCAAACGACAACGCCATTGATTCTCTATAGCTCAGCTGTGACCCTCCCTTCCCACCACCTCCCCCAAACACGCTCCATCAGCCAAGAGAACCAACTCTCCTGTCACTTCAAACCCCATGGACTCACCTGTAAGGACTGTGAGAAATACAATAGACTCCCTACCAGTCTCAGTGCCTGGAGAAGGAAGGGAAGATGTCAGAGTCCACAGGAGAAGGTGACCCTTAATGAGGCAGGTGTACAGTGTAAAGGAGTCAACATAACAGAGTGGGAATTTGGGGTCAGGAGTCAAATGGTTTCCTTAAAGTCATGGCTCAACCAGTTGAAAGTCAATGTCTCACTGGCCTCAGATTCCTTGTCTGAAAATGAGGTTGATAGCTATCTCCATCTCATAGTGCTCCTATGAGGTTTAAATGATTTAATTCATGTAAATCGCTTAGAACAGTGTCTGACACTTTTATTAAGGCAGAATCCTAGAAAGGGAGGGTGTCTCACTCTTTAGTTCCTGTTAACTTCTTCCAGGAAGGAAGGACCACTTCTTCCCAACACTCATCAGCCTGAGCCTCCTCTTACTTGCCTGTAGCTGGAGAGCTGCTCTGTCCCATGGGGTGGGGGTGGGGCAACCATGAAAAGGCCAACATGGAGCCAAGGATGAGGAAGTTTTAGAGCAATGCACAACCACACGCAAACTCACAAACACATGCACATATACATACAAACACTCATACATGCTTATATATACTCACAAACACATATAAATATATAAATATTTATATATTTATAAATAGAAATACAAACAAATAACACACAAATAACTAGATATGTTTTTACACTCATGTGAACCCACACAGACAGACACACACATGCACATCACACAGTCCCTTCAGATTTGGGGCCTGCTCACTCTCACTTAATCTCTTATAAGAAATTGAAGATCCTGAGGGAGAAGGACTTGAGAAAATTTGTCCCACCAGAAAGAAACCCACTCCCAGGCACTCTGATACTTTCTGGGTCTCATGCGGCCCTGTTCCTGGAACCTTCACAGAGGAGCAGGGGATCTGATCTTATATCAAGATCCTGTAGTCCAGAGGCTGCCATATGCACCAGGTGCCTGGGAATTGGGGCTCTGGGAATCTGGCAGGCCACCACCCTCTCACCTTTTTTGTCTGTTCTCAGCCTGCACTCCACAGCCAGGGGTCCCTCCCGGGCTTTGCTGCACAACAGGATGTCTCCACATTAGCTCCAGGATTAACAAGAGCAGAAGTTACAACTCAGTCCCTTTGGGATGCGACACTCTTAGGTCAGAACAATGAAACCCAGAATCTCTTCCCCACCTGAGTTCTTGTTGTTCTAGAGCACATCTCTAGTGACCACAGTTCCAACAATTAAAACCTGATCACAAAACTCCAATAGTAACAGCTCCAAGGAGAACCTGGCCAGCAAATGCTCCCTTGATGGCGATGGTGGGCTGGGAAGACAGATCTGAGGAGGAAAGGAAGAGTAAGGGGCCCTGACCTCACATCTGAGCCCTGACCCTGCTGAAAGTCTCCAGAAGGGCTCCTGCTTTCCCTTGGAAGAAGCTACACCCCTCATCCCTCTCTTTATTTGATTTCAGGGTGATGGGCTCAGGCAGCCCCTCATGCTGCACGTGGTACATGTATCTCTGCTCCTCTCCAGAAGGCACCACCACAGTATGCTACTTCTGGAAGGTCCCATCCCCCACAGGCCTGGTGTCCACAAGCTCCGTGTCCTGGGTCTGATGCTCCCTTTCATTCTTTCAGGTCAGGGTGACCTCCTTAGGGCAGAAACCCGGAGCCAAGTAACTCAGGGTGACCTCCCCATCAGGGCTGGGGTGGTGGGTCACATGTTCTGGGAGGCTCTCTGGGGTAGACAAAGCAGAGAGGCTCAGGCAAGGGCTTGTTGAGTAGCATCTACTCCAAACACCGAGACTCCATCATTCTTGATAGTTTGGCTGCCAACCAGGGTGAGGCGAGCAGTGTCCTCTAGGTGGGGGCAGAGGGAACCAGCAATAAGTTAAGTTGGGTCCAAGACAAGGGCTTGGGAGCTCAGTCCAACATTCTCGTTCAGAGTGAGTCACTCCAAAGACTTTCTACCATCTTATCAAGCTATTGGTCCAATGTTTCTAGATGGATGTTTATAGGTACTAACAGTTGTGTATCTAGTGGGAAAGGGCCAAAAGTGTGAAAAACCTCCAAGGAACTAAACATAGGAGTGCATATCTCTTTTCAAGTCAGTGTTTGTGTTTTCTTTGTTGTTGGTTTTGTTTTTTGTTTTTTTTGTTTGTTTGTTTGGTGAGTAAGATTGCCCCTGAGCTAACATCTGTGCCAATGTTCCACTATTCTGTATGTGGGACACCACCACAGCTTGGCTTGATGTGCGGTGTGTAGGTCCATGCCCAGGATCCAAACTCATGAACCCCAGGCAGCTGAAGCAGAGCACACAAACTTAACCACTATGCCACTGGGCCAGCCCCCATGTTTGTGTTTTCTTTGGATAAATATCCAGAAGTGGAATTGCTGGATAATCTGATAGTTCTATTTTTAATTTTTGAAGAAACCTCCATACTGTTTTCTATAGTGGCTGCACCAATTTACATTCCCACCAAGAGTGCACAAGGGTTCCCTTTTCTCCACATCCTTGCCAACATTTGTTATTTCTTCTCTTTTTGATAATAGCCATTCTAACAGGTGTGAGGTAATATCTCATTGTGGTTTTGATTACATTTCCCTGATGATTAGTGATGTTGAGCGTCTTTTCATGAATCTATTGGCCATCTGGATGTCTTCTTTGGAAAAATGTCTACTCAGATCCTTTGCCCAATTTTTTTCCACCCTTCCCCCTTCCTCTCTGGTAACCACCAATCTGTTCTCTGTGTCTATTTGTTTGTTTGTTGTTGCTGTTTTTATCTTCCACTTATGAGTGAAATTATATGGTATTTGACTTTTTCCATCTGACTTCTTTTTCTTACATAATACCCTCAAGGTCCATCCATGTTGTCGTAAATGGCAAGATTTCATCTTTTTTATGGCTGAGTAATGTTCCATTGTATATATATACCATATCTTCTTTATCCATTCATCTATTGATGGGCACTTAGGTTGTTTCCAAGTCTTGGCTATAGTGAATAATGCTGCAATGAACATAGGGTTGCAAATAGCTTTTCACATTTGTGTTTTCATGTTTTTGGATAAATATTCAAGACTGGACTAGCTGGATCACATGGTAGTTCTATTCTTAATTTTTTTTGAGGACTCCCCATACTGTTTTCCATTGTGGCTGCACCAGTTCGCATTCCTACCAGCAGTGTTTGAGGGTTCCTTTTTCTCCACATCCTCTCCAGCACTGGTTATTTCTTGTCTTGTTAATTATAGCCATTCTGACAGACGTGAGGTGATATCTCATTGTAGTTTTGATTTTCATTTTTCCTTATTAATTAGTGATGTTGAACATTTTTTTCTTGTGCCTGTAAGCCATCATTATATCTTCTTTGGAAAGATGTCTGCTCATGTCCTCTGCCCATTTTTTAATTGGGTTGTTTATATTTTTGTTGTTGAGTTGTAAGTGTTGTGTCTATCTTTTGGATATTAACTCCTTATCAGTTATATGATTTGCAAATATCTTCTCCCAATTGTTAGGTTGTCTTTTCACTTTGTTGATGGTTTCCTTTGCTGTGCAGAAGTTTTTAGTTTGATGTAGTCCTGTTTGTTTAGTTTTTCTTTTTTTTCCCTTGCCTGGTGAGTCATGGTGTTCAAAAAGATACTCCTAAGACCAATGTCAAAAAGCAAACTGCCTATGCTTCTTATAGAAGTTTTCTGGTTTCAGGTCTTACATTCAAGTCTATAATCTTTTTTGAGGTAATTTTGGTATGTGGTGTAAGAAAATGGTCCACTTTCATTCTTTTGCATGAGGCTGCCCAGTTTTCCCAACACCGTTTATTGAAGAGATTGTCCTTTCCTCATTGTATATTCTTAGCTCCTTTGGCATAAATTAATTGACCCTATAAACATGGGTTTATTTCTGGGCCCTCTATTCTGTTCCACTGATCTACGTGTCTGTCTTTATGCCAATACCACACTGTTTTGATTACTATAGCTTTGTAATATTGTGTGTGTGTGTGTGTGTGTGTGTGAGAGAGAGAGAGAGAGAGAGACAGAGACAGAGAGAGAGAGAGAGAGAGAGAGAGAGAGAGAAGAAGATTGGCCCTGAGCTAACATCCATTGCCAATCTTCCTCTTTTTGCTTGAGGAAGATTGTCCCTGGGCTCACATCCACGCCAGTCTTCCTCCACTTTGTATGTGGGACACCAGCACAGCATGATTTGATGAGAGGTGTTTGGGTCCGCGCCCAGGATCTGAACCCGCCCAGGAACCTTGGGCAGTGGAAGTGGAGCATGTGAACTTAACCACTACGCTACTGGGCCAGCCCCTGCAATATAGTTTTAAATCAGGAAGCATAATGCCTCCAGATTGTCTCAAGATTGCTTTGACTATTTGAGATCTTTTGTGTTTCCAGACAAATTTTAGGACTGTTTGTTCTATTTCTGTGAAAAATGCCATTGAAATTTTGATGGGGATTGCATTAAATCTGTAGATTGCTTTAGGTTGTATGGACATTTTAACAATATTAATTCTTCCAATCCATGAACATGGAATATCTTTCAATTTATCTTGTCTTCTTCAATTTCTTTCATCAATGTCCTATAGTGTTCAGCATACAGGTCTTTCACCTCCTTGGATAAATTTTTCCCTAGGTATTTTATTCTTTGTGATGAAATTATACATAGAATTTTTTCTCAATTTCTCTGATGGTTTGTTAATAGTGCATAGAAATACAACATATTTTTGAACATTGATTTTTTTATCTGCACCTTTACTGAATTCACTTATTGGTTCTAAAAGTTTTTTGGTGGTGTCTTTATGGTTTCCTATATATAATATTATGTGATCTGCAAATAGCAATAGTTTTACTTCCTCCTTTGCAATTTGGATGCCTTTTATTTCTTTTTCTTGTCTAATTGCTGTAGTTAGGACTTTCAATACTATGCTGAATAAAAGTGGTGAGAGTGGGCATCCTTGGCTTGTTCCCGATCTTAGAGGAAAAGCTTTCAGCTTTTCACTGTTGAGTATGATATTAGCTGTGGGCTTGTCATATGTGGCCTTTATTATGTTGAGGTACATTCCCTCTATATTCACTTTGTTAAGAGTTTTTATTGTAAGTGGATGTTGAATTTTGTCAAATGCTTTTTCTGCATCTGTTGAGATGATCATATGATTTTTATTCTTCATTTTGCTAATGTGGTGTACCACATTCATTGATTTGCAAATGTTGAACCATCCTTGCATCCTTGGAATAAATCCCACTTCATCATTGTGTATGATTCTTTTAATATACTGTTGAATTCAATTTACTAATATTTTGTTGAAAATTTTTTCATCTATGTTCATTAGAGATATTGGCCTATAATTTTCCTTTTTTGTGACATCTTTGTCTAGTTTTGGTATTGGGGTAATTCTGGCTTTGTAAAATGAATTTGGAAGTGTTCTCTCCTCTTATTTTTTGGAAGAATTTGAGAAGGACTGGTATTCTTTTTTGAAGGTTTGGTAGAATTCACCAATGAAGCCATATAGTCCTGCATATTTGTTTGTTGGATATTTTTTATTGCTGATTCAATCTCCTTACTAATAATCAGTGTGTTCAGATATTCTATTTCTCAATGATTCAATTTTTGAATGTTTTATGTTTCCTGGAATTTATCCATTTCTTCTAGGTTGTCCAATTTGTTGGCATATAATTGTTTGTAGCAGTCTCTTGTGATCCTTTGTATTTCTGTAATATCAATTGTAACATCTCCTCTTTTGTTTCTGATTTTATTTGAATCCTCTCTCTTTTTGTCATGGTGAGCATAGCTAAGTGTTTATCAATTTTGTTTATCTTTTCAAAGAACCAGCTCTTGGTTTCATGGATCTCTTGAAATTTCAGTAGCATGTTGTTTAATCTCTATATATCTGTGGATTTTCCAGTTTTATTCTTGTAACTGATTTCCAGTTTCATACCACCCTGGTTGGAAAAAATGCTTGATATGATTTCAATCTTTTTAATTTCATTAAGATTATTTTGTGTTCTAAAGCATGATCTATCTTTGAGAATGTTCTCTGAGCACTTGAGAAGAACATGTATTCTGTTGCTTTTGGAAGGAATGTTCTGTATATATCTGTTCAGTCCATCTGGTCTAATGTGTTGTGTATGGCCAGTATTTCCTTATTGATTTTCTGTCTGGATAATTTATCCTCTGATGTAAATGGGGTACTAAAGTCCCCTACTATTATTATATTGCTATTTCTCCCTTTAAGTCTGTTAATATTTGCTTTGTATATTTAGGTGCTCCTATGTTGAGTGCATATATATTTATAAATGTTATATCCTCTTGTTGTATTACCCCTTTATCATGACATAATGTCCTTCTCTGTCTCTTGTTACAGTCTTTGTTTTAAAGTCTATTTTCTCTGATATAAGTATAGCTACCCCAGCTTTCTTTTGATTTCCATTTGCATGGAATATCTTTTTCCACCTCTTCACTTTCAGTATGTTTGTCCTTAATGTAAAGTGAGTCTCTTGTAGACAGCATATAGATGGGTCTTTTGTTTTTATCCATTCATCCACTCTATGGCTTTTGATTGGAGAATTTAGTCCTTTTACATTTACAGTAATTAGTGATAAGTATGTACTTATTGCCATTTTTCAAATTGTTTTCTGGCTTTTTGTGTGGTTCCTCTCTGTTTCTTTCTTTTTCTCCTGCTCTTTTCCTTTGTGGTTTGATGACTGTCTTTAGTGGTATGCTTATATTCCTTTCTCACTATCTTTTGGGTATCTACTATAGGTTTTGCTTTGTGGTTAACATGAGGCTTACATATAACAACTTATATTCGTTACAGTCTATTTTAAGTTAATAAGAAATGAACATTGAATGCATTCAAAGGCTCTATATTTTTACTGCCCCCAACAGGTTTTATGTATTTGAAGTCACATTTTACACCTGTTTGTTTCGTATATCCCTTAACAAATTATTATAGTTACAATTATTTTTACTGTCTTTGTCTTTTAACCTTCATGTTAGCTTTATAAGTGATTAATCCACTAACTTCACTATATATTTATCTTTACGAGTGAGATTTATACTTTCATATGCTCCCCTGTTACTAATTAGTACCCTTTCTTCCCAGGTTAAAGAAATCTCTTTAACGTTTCCTGTAAGGCTGGTTTAGTGGTGATAAACTCCTTTAGCTTTTGCTTGTCTGGAAAACTCTCTCTCTCTGCATCAATTCTGAATGATAACTTTGCCATATAGAGGATTCTTGTTTGGAAGTTTTTTCTTACAGTATTTTGAATATATCTTGACACTCCCTTCTGCCCTGCAAAGTTTCTGCTGAAAAATCTACTGATAGTCTTATGGGGGTCCCCTTGTATGTAACAAGTTGTTTTTTCTTGTTACTTTTAAAATTCTACCTTTGTCTTTAACTTTTGACATTTTAATTATAATGTGTCTTGGTATGGGTCTCTTTGGCTTCACCTTGTTTGGAAGTCTCTGGGCTTCCTGGATCTGTATGTTTTCCTTGCCCAGGTTAGGGAAGTTTTCAGCCATTATTCTTCAAATAAGTTTTCTTCCCCTTTCTCTCTCTTTTCTCCTTCTGGGATCCATATAATGTGAATGTTAGTTTGCATGATGTTGTCTCATAAGTCCCTTAAGATATCTTCACTTTTATCCATTCTTTTTTCTTTTTGCTGCTCTAATTGAGTGTCTTCCACTACCCTGTCTTCAAGGTCACTGATCTTTTATTCTGTTTCATCTAGTCTGTTGTTGAACCCCTCTAGTGTATTTTTCAATGCAGTTATTGTATTCTTCAGCTCTGTGACTTCTGTTGACTTTCTTATATTTTCTATCTCTTTGTTGAAGTTCTCACTATGTCCATCCATTCTTCTCTAGTGTTCAACGAGCATCTTTATGACCATTACGTGGAACTCTTTATCAAGTAAATTACTTATCTCCATTTCATTAAGGTTTTTTCTGATATTTTACCTTGTTCTTTTGTTTGGAACACATACCTCTGTTTCTTCATTTTATTTGACTCTCTGTGTTGGTTTCTATATGTTAGATGAAACATACACCTCACCCAGTCTTGAAGGGTTGGCCTTGTGTAGGAGATGAAACTTATCTTTCAACCTTGCCATAGCTTTTGTTTGTCTCTCAAACCTTTATGTTTGTTCAAGCAGCCTATTTTATTTTTCTTGGCTCCCAGTAGTTGAGAGTGTCTCAAGACCTGTCACTGTCCCAAAGGGGAGGATCTCAGTCGGCACCTAGATTCAGGTTGATTGGAAGCCAAACCCTCAGGCAGTAGCTTTTAAAGAATGCAAATATATATAGTCCTGTGGGACCACAAGCATAAGTCCCACTGGCATCAGAGCCAGGCAATCTGGAGGTGTCCCCTGGATGACAGTCACAAAAACCGGGGCTCCACATGAGTATGTAAGATCCTTTCTGGGAGACACCAGTGAACGAGAGCAAGGCAGAGGGAGAGCACAAAGATGGTGTTCCCAAGCCTATGTTCCTTTAGAGCACCTCTGTAGCCCTCAGATGTGTGCAAACCCGAAGGCAGCCCCTCATACCAAAGCTCCAGGGCAAGCAAGTAGGCCTCTTTCACAGAAAGACTGGGGGAGTGTTTCAGTCTGCTGTCTGTGCAGTGCCCTGGGGGTCGTAGCCTACCAAGAACTGTCTCTCCAGTTGTTACAGTCCTTTGGGACCCAGAAATGCAAGTCCCCCTGTGCATCAGAGCCAGGCAATCGAAGGGCATCTCCTGGGCAGCAGCTGCAAAAATCAAGGCACTAGACATAGGAACTGCAGTACCAGACATGTATAAGAGTGCCCCTCTGAGAGATGCTGGCGCTCTGGAACATAGCAGAGAGAAAGCACAAAGATAGTGACCACCCTCCAAGGTCTTAGGAAAGGTTTACAGTCAGCCCTTAGATATGTGTTTAATTAGAAATCTGCCTCTCAGGCTGCAGCTATGATGATAAGCTTAAAGGCATCTTTCACAGAAAGACTAAGCTCCTGGGTCTATTGGCTCTTGCTATGCCCTGGGGGTCGTAACTGCTTAAGAACTCTTTCTCAATTGGTTATAGTCTTGTGGGACCTGCAAACATAAGCCCCACTGGTCACCAGAGCCAGGTGATATAGAGGTGTCAGCTGCAAAAGTCAAAGAACCAGTCAAGGGTAGAAGCTCCTTTCTGGAAGTTACTGGCCTGCCGGAGGAAGACAGAAGGAGAATGCAACGATTGTGTCCACCAGCCTCTGTTCCCTAAGAGCACCTCCATAGGCCCCTAGACGTGTGCCAGTCCAGAAGTCTACTTCAGACCAAAGCTTCAGGACAAGCAAAGAGGCTTCTTTCTCAGAAAGGCTGAGGGTGTGTTTCAGTCTGCTATCTGTGCAGTGCCCTAGGAATGGTAGTCTGCTAAGAACTGTCTCTCCAATTGTCAAAGTCCCATGGGACCCAAGAACACAAGCCCCCCGGCCTCCAGCCAGGCAATCAAGGGGCGTCCCCTGGGTGGCAGCCACAAAAACCAGATGTGTGTAGAAGCTCCTCATCAGAAGATACTGCTGCTCTGGAGCACAGCAGAGTGAGCATGAAGATGGCACCCGCTGGTTGTAGTGAGGCAGAGAGGGAATGCAAAGATGGCACCCCTCAAAAAAAAAAAAAACAAGAAAAAGATGGTACTCATTGGCTTTAGCAAGGGAGAGGGAGAGCACAAGGATGGCATCCACCAGCCTTCATCCCTGGAGAGTATCACAACATGCCCCTGCCTCTCAGACTAACACTTTAAAATTAGCAAGAGTCTCTTTCACACAAAGACTAGGCACTTTTCAAAGGGCTGCTTCTGTGCTGGGCCCTAGGGCAAGTGAATCTGCAGGCCAGCCCTTTAAGAACCATTTCTCAGTTCGGCACAGCCCTGTGGGCTTCGCGGGTGCGAGCCCATTGGTTTTCAAAGCTAGATGTTTTGGGTGCTCATATCTCTGGTGCTGGTCTTAAAAGTTGTGGTGCCTGATATCGGATCTAAACCCTTCGCTCCTCAGGGAGAAGCTCCAGGGTTTGATTGTGGGTCTCTGAGCTGGGGATGGGATTTATGGTAAGATTTGTGTCAGCCTTTTCTGCCCACTCAATGTGTTTTTTTCTCATTTTCCCCAATGTGAGGAGGTCCCTCCACTAGTTTTTAGGATTTTTTCAGAGGAAATTTTTCCATGTGTAGCTGTAGACTTGCTGTGTCCCTGGGAGGAGATGAGTTCAAGATCCTACATTGCCATCTTGAACCTGAACCCAACAAATTCCTTTAAAGACACAAGCTACCAAACTGAATTAAGAACAAATAGGAAACCTAAGTAATCCTGTATAAATTAAAGGTATTAAATTCAGAATTAAAAAATATTCCACAAAGAAAACTGCTGGCTCACATGGATGCACTGGTGAATTCCATCAAAAACCTAAGGATTAACACCAGTCCTACACAAACTCTTGGAGAAAACAGAGGTGGAAGAAATACTTTCAAAATCATTTTATGAAGTAGGCATTATGCTGATACCAAAACAAGACAAAAATATCAAAAGGTAACTTCAGACCAATGTCTCTCATGAGTCCTTAAGGAAATATCAGCAAAATGAACCCAACACATTATGACCCAGTAAGTTTCATCTCAGGATGCAAGTTTGGATGAATATATAGACATCAATCTAATGTATGATATTAATAGAATAAAGAACAATAACCACAGGATCATCTTT